ATGGATGGAAATTGCCTTCCTAGTACTGGGGTATGGATGCAAACACCAACAGAGAAGCAGCCGCTACTTCCAAACTGAACACATGTGAGATTTGCCCTTTAATTAGCATCTGCAGCTGCTGCCATCAGAAGGGTCTGTCTCTGTTGGCCTGAAAGTCTTTGCTTTAAAAGAGCAAGTCCATTATAGCTCCAAGCTAGGCTCGTCTGTCAGCTGCTGTGCTTTCTCTGCCATCAGCGGGGTTGCCACATTGTTTTGGGCTGTTTCACTCTAGGACTCTTTCCTCCTCCTGTGCCCGCAGCCTTTGATTACTATGCCTTGGTGATCATCATTTGGGTGACCTGCAGCTGCTCATTGTGTGTGCAGGAGACATCTCCAGTCCTTGCAAGGAGGGAAGATCATTGGCTTCAGTGCTGATGGACTGGTTATTTTCCAGCTCTTTGTTGTCAGTGATCTTGTCTTGATATGCAGAAAGGCTCCAAGTAGTCACTGAAAAAAATATAAGCAGCAGAGGTGATGGCTATATGAAAGCCATGTTTCATCAAGGGCATTGCTGCTATAGAAACTTTTAATTCACTTGGAGAAGGGAGCCATATTTGTTCCACAGCCTCCTCAGCAGTGGGTCACACGATGCTGGGCTGGCTGCATCTGAATCACCCCAGTAGCTCCTTAAAACTGTAGATTCCCATCCATGGAGTGTGATCCATGCAGTCTGGGGTTATTCCCTGGAATCCTTTAAGCTCCCTAAGTAGTTGGGATGGGAAAGAGATACGCTTTACCTTACTATACTGCTTATTATTATCATTTTAAAATTTTTGCCGGGCACAGTGGCTCACATCTGTAATCCCAGCACATTGGGAGACCGAGGTGGGTGGATCACTTGAGGTCAGGAGTTCGAGTCCAGCCTGGCCAACATGATGAAATCCCATCTCTACTAAAAATACAAAAATTAGCCGGGCATGGTGGCGCGTGCCCGTAGTCCTACTCTGGAGGCTGAGGCAGGAGAATTGCTTGAACCCGAGAGGCAGAGGTTGCAGTGAGCCGAGATCGTAGCACTGCACTCCAGCCTGGGCAACAGAGCGAGACTTCATCTCAAAAAAAGAAAAAAAAAAAAAGAAAAAAAAAGAAAAAACAGAACTCTTTTTCATTATACCAGAACGTCAGCTGTATGGAGGTGGAGATTTTTTCTGTTTTATTCACTGCTGTTTCCCTAGTATCTAGAATAGTGGCTGGCACATGATAGGCACTCAAATATTGATTTAGATGAGTCTATCTTATTTTCTTTTAAATTTTTTGTTTTTATTAGAGGTGGGGTCTCGCTTTATTGCCCAGCCTGGTCTCAAAACTCCTGACCTCAAGTGATTCTACTGCCTTAGTCTCCCAGAGGGCTAGGATAGGCATGAGCCATCATGCCTGGCTTGTCTTATTTTTAAGAAACACTTCTCCTGGTGATTCTGATGGACAATCAGGCTTGGGAAGTTCTAACCTAGAGGACCTATAGTTGTCTTGGGGTAGAAGCCAAGGCTATCCTGGTTTTGAGGATCAGTGCCTTACTGAGCATCTCTGAGTAGTAAAAGTCAGGGACAGAGTTACATTTTTGGACAAAACCAGATGCTGTGAATGGACTCTCGGTCACAACCTGGGTGGCGACTTTGTCCTTAACTTCTTCATTTTCTGCTGACCCTGGTCTTTGGTTCACAGCAGGTCACCTGGTAAGAAGAATTGAAGACGCCTAGTTTGTTACTTTAGATGATGCTTTTGGAACCTCTTGGTACCATTTTAACAATCCAAATGTATTTTCTGAAAGCACTGAAGTCCTGGGTCTGTATTGTATCTTTAAGCTCTAACAGCATGATGATTGAATAAGCCTTGGTTGGCCACACACAAGCCATCTTCCCCGTGGGCTCCATTCATACTAGAATGAGCAGCTATACCCAGTAGTATAGTTTTGGGATATGGGTAACATCTTGGGATAGCCACATTGACTCAGTAAATGTCTGAACTACATTCTTCTAATGGTGCACTGTTGGAATTTTTGGTGTGGTAACCTGGAATGGTGGGTCAAGTTTGATTAGCATCTTTGATAAAGACCTGGTCTATTTAGAGGTTTGTCATTGAGTGTGTCTGTTTTGGCCTCATGTTGTGATGCATGCTGTGTAGCAGCTGTGGTAATTTTTGTTGCTTGTTTTCTCAATCAACCCTGGTTTTGAAGAAATGGAAAGTTGTTCCACTCTTAGACTGATCTGATTTGGGAGGGGATTTTCAGTCAGGAAGTTGGATCTTCTGAATAGAAGCAAAGAATACATATCTTTCTGCCTCTTTACGAGCTGGCTCTTGTTTTCTGAACTATTTTACTGGTCACTGCAAATAGAATGTTAGGAGTAGCTGCCAAATACTAAGTTGTGTTCAGTTTGTCAGTTCTTAAGAGTTGCCGGTGGCTGCTCTGCTATGCATATGACTTTCTCAGCCTTAAACTCACAAGCCATACTGTTTTTTTCACATCTTTAATACAGCCATAGGAAATTTATAACTGTGGTGTGTCGTCATAAATATGCATTGTTGTTATTTTAAGACATTTCAGTGCTAAAAGTATAAGTACTTCTGTTATTATCTGTGAATTTCTTTCCTTTTTCTTTTTTTGGATATTTAAGACCTTTTTAATGGCAATATATATTTAAAACAGACATATAAATTAGCATTCACCCACATACCCAGGGCCTGTGGAGAACCAGGTTGGGATGAGTGGGTGAGCTAAAGGCAGCCAGGTGGCTCCCGTGGGCTCCTCGAGGACTGGGGTGAGTAACTAATGTCTGCTAGGAACTTGGGGGAAAGAAAGTGCGTATGTGAGGTGCTGCCCCTTCTAAGTGTTCCTCTTGTTCATAAATCATATATATATATATATATATATTTTTTTTTTTTTTTTTTTTTTTTTTTTTTTTTTTTTTGAGACGGAGTCTCGCTCTGTCGCCAGGCTGGAGTGCAGTGGTGTGATCTCAGCTCACTGCAACCTCCGCCTCCCGGGTTCAAGCGACTCTCCTGCCTCAGCCTCCCGAGTAGCTGGGACTACAGGCATGCACCACCATGCCCAGCTAATTTTTGTATTTTTAGTAAAGATGAGGTTTCACCATGTTGGCCAGGGTGGTCTCGATCTCTTGACCTCATAATCTGCCTGCCTCGGCCTCCCAAAGTGCTGGGATTACAGGCATGAGCCACTGTGCCCAGTCCATAAATCAAAATTTTTTCAGCAATTGTTGTGCAAATGGAACCTTACTCTTCAAATGCAATTGTCCGGTGTCTGGCTTAATGTCTGCTGTTGTCAGAAACCATGTGAATGGAGTAGACTCCCAGGTTATAAGGAGCCCTTGGGGAGGATGCGCGAGTCACTGGCTTCTCCGGGGGTCTCTGGTTTGGGGTTGCCTTGGTGCTGGGCACACTTGCTGGAGATTTTACTGGACCAGCCTGAGGCCTTTGGGGCTCTGTGCAGATGCTCTACTTCTGACTTGTCTAGAGCTTTCTTCTAATTCTGGACTAAAAGCAAGCAGGAGTTTGGAGGATGATGGTGAGAATTCACATCCCCGAGTTGGCTTTTGGAATGCAGTAGTTTGTGAGATTTAGTGTTTTTTTAAGAAGTATATTCAGATCTTGCCTTTTCCCAGAAAGCATATGAGACAACTTCCAAGACATTTATAGCATGGCTAATAAAATGGGAAATCAGGGCGAAGGACAGGAGAACTCAATAAGGGTTAACATGGCTACGGCGATTGTCTCAACGGGTTCTTTTTGCTGGACAGAGCACAAAGGATCATGCAGTAAAGTAGTGGGGAAGGATGGGAATTGAATGGTAGGTGAAGACTTCATGTTGGTGCCAGGCACTGTGCCACACCCTCAGAGGACCTTGTCTTACTTAATCCTCACACAGTGCTGCAAGGGGATTAGTCTTTTCCCTGTTTTGGAGAGGATGAAACTGAAAGGCAGAGAGGTGAAGTCACCAGCAGGAGGCTGAAGCCACCCAGGCTAACTGGCCTTATAGCCACCTGGGGACTCAGGAATATCACAACTGTTTATCATCAAAAGGAGAAAGGATTTCAGTTCCTTGGGGTAGAGGAGTTTCTTTTTGCTAATCAAACATTTTGCTTGAGGCTTAATATTCTTCTTCAAGATTTTTTTCCTGTGTATGTACAAACACATGTAATAATTCCTTATTTATTACAAAAAAGGGGTTGTACTTTATTCTTTACAGGATTTCACTTTATATTGTCATGGACAATTTTCCATGGCAGTATGAATAAATGGAATCCATTTGTTTTTAATATCTTTGTCTTATCCCATTGTTTACATATGTCATATTTTAGCCTGTCTTTGATGGATAGCTGAATGATTTCCATGGCTTTTTCTCCTGTTACAAACAATACTGCAAAGAATCTATTTATCTTTCTATTTATCTGCAAACTATTGTAAGTACCTGTAAAGTAAATTGTTAGAAGTGGAATTACTAGGTCAAAGGGGATATTTTCACATTTAAATTCTGAACAGAGGCTGTCAGTTGCCTTCCACACTGACTATAAAAGGAAAAGATTGTATCACATTTATTGCAAGCCTTCTGAATTCTGCTGGGTGCTGAGGGGAATACAGAAAGGATATAAGAGAGTGGTTGCCCTCTAGGAATATCCGTCTACACTGTACCTAATCCTAGGGAATGTCTGGGGTGTCAACTTGTGGGTGGGGAAGTGGGTGGATTTAATTCAACTTTTCAAGCTTGCCTTGCAAACACTGTGCATGGTGTCTGGGACTAGTCTTTCATTATATTGATTCCCCTGAGTAACAGATGTAATTTTCTTAGGGCAGGGACTTCATCCTATGTGACTTACAGTGTGCCTTACACATCTTCTTTGTTTTGTGGAGACCTTGTTATTGTAACATGTCAGGTGATATTTGAGGATCTAATTGAGGCATTCCCTATTTTTGGGTGTGTGAATAATTAATAACTTTGGCATTCTATACAGGTCATGGAATATCAGCCTGGAGGGGACTTGCTGTCACTTTTGAATAGATATGAGGACCAGTTAGATGAAAACCTGATTCAGTTTTACCTAGCTGAACTGATTTTGGCTGTTCACAGTGTTCATCAGATGGGATATGTGCATCGGTAAGTGAGACTCTGGTAGCATTTTTATGTTGAGGATTTTTCTGTGTTGCATAAGAGTTCCTGCATGGAAATGAGTGGATGAATGATTTCAGGATCAAGATAACGCTCCATCCAATTTTTAGCCAGTCTACCAATAACTGGCTGAAAGCAGACTTTCCAAAAGGGAGGACATTTCAGCTTGCCCATCCAGCAGTGCAATAGATCTAGAATTGTAATGTGCTCAGGTTTGCTAGTAAGATCTGGTAATGTAGCTAAGTAAGACTGGGAACTCTTGCATGGGTTATTTGGATTATATGATAGAAGAACTGAATTTGGTTTGCAGAAGGAAATGTCATACCACACAGTAGTGTAAGACCATGGAGCTGTACTTCTGTAACTCTGCACGTTAGAATTTACAAAGATTTTTTTTTTTTTTGAGATGGAGTCTAACTCTCTTACCATGCTGGAGTGCAATGGTGCCATCTCGGCTCACTGCAACCGCTGCCTCCTGGGTTCAAGTGATTCTTCTGTGTCAGCCTCTCAAGTAGCTGGGATTACAGGCACGCGCCGCCACACCCAGCTAATTTTTGTATTTTTAGTAGAGACAGCGTTTCAGCATGTTGGTCAGGATGGTCTCAATCACCTGACCTCGTGATCCTCCCACCTCGGCCTCCCAAAGTGCTGGGATTAGAGGCATGAGCCACCGCGCCTGGTTTACAGAATCTTCAGTTGATAAGTAGTTCTTCATGTCTTCACTCATCTGTTGTTTTGTGTACATCTGAGAATGTTGTGGGAATGCAACGATTGTTAGGCCAGGAATCACAAAATCTGAGATAGAGTCTCAGCTTTTCCATTGGCCAGCTACATAACCTTGGGAAAATTTCATAGCTCCTTTTGGCCTTAGTTTTCCTAATGTAAAATGTGTGTCTCTAGGAGAAATAATCCATTGAATAATATGTGTTTCATTTCTCTTTTCTTTCCCCCCTATTCTTCCTCTTCCCCTCCCTCCCTCCCTCTCTCTCTCCTTGCCTTTTGGTTAACTTTGTTTCGCAAAATGTATGCTAATCGTTTATATCCATCAATAGAGGAGGTCTATATAGCAGAATACATAAACAAAGATTTTTGGCTCAATTGAAATTCTAGTTTAGCAGTTGCTTGCTGATTGGGATGGAGGAGGCAATTCATGGTCCTGATTTTCTTACAGAGACATCAAGCCCGAGAACATTCTCATTGACCGCACAGGACACATCAAGCTGGTGGATTTTGGCTCTGCTGCAAAAATGAATTCAAACAAGATGGTAACAAAATGGAATAAGATAGCTTAATAGAGTTAATACTAAAAAGTATTCTTGGTCCTCCTAAGTTTGGGAAGTGTTGGGATAAAATGGTGAACAACGTTCACCTTTGGCAGTGTATGGGGGTCGGGAGGGGACACAGAACTATTTCCCAGACGGTGGCACCTTTTCATTTATAGTGCCTGTTAATACCCTACAGGACATTTTTAGGAGCATTCTTATAGTTTGGTTAGAAATAAAGGAAAAAGCTTATTTTGTTTCTCCCTTCATTTTCCTTGCCTGTTACAGACTGTCTTCTGTTATGTTATCTTTTTTACTTTAAAATATTTCGATGAAACGGAAACTCCTGTATGTCAAATCCTCTATTTCCTATGCAGCAAAATTGAAATTAATCACTGGAGCATTTGAACCAAATATCCTTAAGTGTTAAGAACCAAGTGCTCAAAATGTCATTTTTAAGTCTTGGATCTTTGGTAGAAATTGCACTCTATTCCACATGCTAAGTAGGACGGCAGGAGGGTAGCTACTGAGATCAAGAGCGAGAATACTTTAGGAAAAAGATGACAAAGTAAAAAAGATTAGAGTTTAAAAATCGTCTAATAAAGTTGGTATGTACTAAAATATGAATTTTGAAGTCAACTCTGCAAAAAAGGATATGTCTAAGAGAAAATCGACTTAGGTTTTAAGACTGATTTTACAACTGAACCACTTGGTGACCTAGACAAATCCTTGGGAACTTGATCTTTTATACTTTCTCTACAAAAAACTGATGCTAGTTAAAATGCACAACTTAAGAGGTTAGAGAAGCTGCTCTTCAAAACGCCCCTCAAGTCTGAGAGTTAAATCCTTTATATAAAGGACAATATGTAAAATTTTCTTTTTTTCTTAAACTGCTTTCAGAAAGGTGGGTATTGTTAGGCTGATGTTAAGAAAAGGCTTGGAGTTGCGTGAACTTTTTGCTCTCTAGCATGTGGCCTGTGTGTTCTGCAGACCTGAGACCTACTTGAGAGAATTTTCTTGGTGTTCAGGCCCTTGGAAAAATAAGTTCCCCATGTTGTCCAGTGTCAGAGTTTCTCAACCTCAGCACTATTCTTTATTTCAGGTTATTTTCTTGTAATCTGTTCACTTGATCATTACATTAAAAATTAGATTATATTGCTATAACTGCAAAGCATTTTATGTTTTAAAAATTATGTACAATTTAGAAACAGGCATGAAAACTTAGGTATTAATCTTAGTGGAATAAAGCACAGAAAAAAAGTTAAAATAATGCAAAGTTTTATCACTTAGGATTAAAAAATTTATATGGGCCGGTAGAGTGCCTCACACCTGTAATCCCAGCACGTTGGGAGGTCGAGGCGGGAGGATTACTTGAGTTTGAGAACAGCCTGGGCAACGAAATGAGACCTAGTCTCTACAAAAAATAAAAAAATTAGCCAGACATGGTGGTACATGCTTGTGGCCCCAGCCACATGGGAGGCCAAGACAGGAGGATCGCTGGAGCCCACGAGGTTGAGGCTGCAACGAGCCATGTTTGCACCACTGCATTCCAGCGTGGGTGACAGAACCAAGACCCTGTCTTAAAACAAATTTATATGCTGCATTCGTGAAATTAAAAAAAATCATGAATTTAGAAATAAATTGAAGCATAGGTACATTGACAATGTAACCTCAGCACTACTGACATTTTGATCTGAATAATTTTTTGTTGTGGGGCCTGCCCTGTATAAGATATTTAGCTGCATCCCTGACGCCTTCCTCCTAGATGCCATTAGCACCCTCCCCTCCAGTTGAGATAACCAAAAATGTCTCTAGACATTGCCAGATGTGCCTGGGATGGGATGATTGGGGAAAGTGGGATTTGAGAACCCTTAGTTGATCATGCCTACAGTAGGTTGAGAAGCATCAGAAAGCTAATTAATTAGACAGGAATATGCGTTTGCAGTAAGAAAACCTGCTCAGAAAACTAATCAAGATCCAAAGTTACTGCTTGGTAAATAAAGAGGAATTAAGAATAAGACCCTATCTCTGTGTCTGAGGTCATTCTCTTCAGAGCTTTTGATGGAGAGACAGGGTTCCCAGTTTCTATTTTTCAGTGCTTCAAACCGCCCTTTTCAGTTATAATTGTAACAACCTTCACTCCAGGTGAGGAGCCTCCCGGGTTTATTTGCAACAAAGGCTCAATCTCTGATTATTTTGGTCAAGGAGATATGACACTCAATACCACACACTTGAGAATATTGCCTCTCTTTTTTCCCTTGTGCTTTTAGGGTTGGAACGTGACAAGCAGATAAAAAGGAATTTTTTGCATTAAGTACAAAGTCCCTTTTGTTATAGAAGAGCAATAATCTGCACACTAGATCAAGTCAAGTGTGGATATAAAATTATGATTTTTGGGGGGATATTTTTAATAGTGGTATTGGGTTAAACATATTTCCTTTGAATGAAATGTCTGTAGGCCTAAAGTAGGTTCTAAATGTTACCTGTACTCATAGTATACCGTATAAAATATAATCCACATTTACTGAAACTATCATATATTACTTACCCCAAATCAATCAGTCCCTTGCCTATTACCCCCACATATTATCTTTGTATTTTGGATACCTGTGAATCTTAGATCTGTTCAGTTTTCCATTATCCATTGTCTTATTTCAAGCTTCTCATTCAGAACGTTGCTTTGGAGTATTTTCTGTTAGTAAACACAGGGCCTAGTGACTGTAGGACCTGCTGTGTGACTTAGGTCACCCACTTCTCTTTATTAGAATCTCAAAGAATGGTGAACAGCTGAGTTCCAATCTGTCTCATTTGGCTATCATGAAAATGGTCGTAAGGAGATTGTAGATAAACCACATTATATAGCATGGTAAGTGATAACCCCATTTAGCAGTTGCAACCCCAGAAGAGATAGCCCTTTTTAGATTTATGTGGGAGTCAAAAGCTTTATTTTCCATAAGAGGAACAACGTAGTGAGAACTCCTTTTCCCCCTGCTTCTGCAGGTATACACTTATGCCCTAGGCAGCTTGATGGGTAAAGCTAGGTTTAAATAGTTTTATGTTTAAGCATTTTTTTTTTTTTTTTTTTTTTTTTTTCGAGACAGAGTCTTGCTCTGTCCCCAGGCTGGAGTGCAGTGGGCGATCTTGGCTCACTGCAACCTCCGCCTCCTGGGTTCAAGCGATGCTCCTGCCTCAGCTCCCCAGGTAGCTGGGATTACAGGTGCCTGCCACCATGCCCGGCTACTTTTTGTGTTTTTAGTAGAGATGGGGTTTCACCATGTTGAATGAAGCATTTTATGGAAAGGAGTTAGGAGGAGAAAGACACTGGTTTTCTTTCATCCTTATCTGCTTTTTGTTAGTAAAAGAATCTGCTAAGTTCACTCTTTTCTTTCTCCTTCCCTCTCTCCCTCTTTCAGTTCTCCCCCGCTTTCCTTCCTTCCTTCCTTTCTTCTCCTTCTCCCCCTTTCTCCCAAAATATGGCAGACTCTTCTGTTCCCTAGTCATTCTCATATAGTCTTCTGAACTTGTTTATTTTCTTCCCTGTCAATACAGTAAAAATTAACTAAGTTGGCCAGGCACGGTGGCTCATGCCTGTAATCCCAGCGCTTTAGGAGGCTGAGGCGAGCGGATCACCTGAGGTCAGGAGTTTAAGACCAGCCTGGCCAATGTGGTGAAACCCTGTCTCTACTAAAAAAAAAAAAATACAAAAATTAGCTGGGTGTGCGTGCCTGTAGTCCCAGCTATTCAACAGGCTGAGTCAGGACAATTGCTTGAATCCGGGGGGTGGAGGTTGCAGTATGCTGAGATTGCACTTTCACTTCAGCCTGGGTGACAGAGCAACACTCTGTCTAAAAAAAAATTAACCAAGTTAAGTAGTACCTGGGCCCTATCAGATAGTGTCCTCCTGCAGGCAGGCTGGGCCCTTACTATAGGTTCACTTTTAACATCTCACTCAGATTAACTGGCTGAATTGCTACCAGAGGAGAGTGAAAGCATATTGCAAAATCATAATCAGGACATGTGAGATTACATGTTGAACAGGTTTAATGTGCTTGGGGGTCAGTGACTAATGGGAACTTAGCAGTCATTAACTGTCATTACAAGCCTTTGTTAATTACTATTACACACTTAGAGATTTGTTAATTAACAAAGAGTAATGCCTTTGCTAATCACTATTATGCACTTAAAGAGTAAGCCAGTGGGTATTTTTCCCTTTATAGCTTTCTAGTACAAATTAATAAAATGTAGAAAATTAGAAAATGATTGTGCATAAATGTGTATAATCATGTATCTGTTAGGGGGCAAAAATTCGCTGGGGAATTATCTTTCTTTGATAAGTCTCATCATTAGTTTGAAAATGAGGCATTGGCAATTCATACTGTTTGGCTGGGTCATCCTGAGAAACGTGCCCCTGTCAATTCTGTTTTTGCAATTCTTTGGTTGTGAACAAGTGACTGTGCCCTGTGAGCTGCAAATAAGGAGAACTGAATATTCCTGAACAGCCTGTAGCAATAAAACAAAATCCAATAAATGCAAATGGTATGTATTGGACAATTGTGTAGTTAGGTCCTGCAAGGTCATTAGACATAAAGGGTAAGTATTTAATCAACAATATAGTAGCATTTTCATTACCTAGTCAAATCAAGATGTTATAGTTTTCCTTCTCTTGTTTTGTTATTTAAAAAGTATCTATTGCGGCCAGGCTCCATGGCTCACACCTGTAGTCCCAGCACTTTGGGAGGCCGAGATGGCTGGATCACGAGGTCAAGAGATCGAGACCATCCTGGTCAAACATGGTGAAACCCCATCTCTACTAAAAATACAAAAATTATCTGGGTATGGTGGCACGCACCTGTAGTCCCAGCTACTTGAGAGGCTGAGGCAAGAGAATTGCTTGAACCTGGGAGGCGGAGGTTGCAGTGAGCTGAGATCACGCCATTGCACTCCAGCCTGGCGACAGAGAGAGACTCCATTTCAAAAAAAAAAAACAACAAAAAAACCCAAAAACTATTGCTTATTGTCAGTGCATTTTAACCAAAATCCTTTAGTTTAATCCTAATCCTGTGCTGAGCTCTTTAGCATTTACATACATATTAAAGAAACAATATCAGCCCAGATTTCCCAACATATTAAGGCTTCTCCTTGACTTTACCTATTTTCAGTTCTTCAAGCTTAAGTCACCCTGTGGTTTTGTCTTAGACCAAATATTTTCCCCTTTGTCTCCCCTTCTGTTCATCAAGCCAAACCTGCTTGTAGGTTTCTTGGATGGTGTGACCATCTGGCTTTCTTGAAGGGGCATTTGTAATGGAAGTTTTATTGCCCAAAGCAGTGGACGGTCCATGTCAGGAATGGTCGTATCACACTGCTGTCTGAGTTTAGGGCTTGGAAAAACCTATATCAGAATGTGGGCCCGAGGGAAGGGGTGAAAAGAGAGGAGAGGGAAGAATAGATCTGTTTCATATAATGAGAAAGTCTCATGGTTGAGGAATGGACGAGATTCAAGTTATAGGCTGGAAGAGCTTCATCCAGAATCAGCCCTGGGGAGAGGAGACCTCATCATGTCCTCACTAAACATTCACTTTCCTCTCCACACCCGGTTAAAGCAAAGCAAATTTACTTTCTTGGTGTAAAGCCCAGCCTTCGAGGTATGTGGCCTTACCCACAAAATCTCTTGGCTCACTCAGGGGCACTTACTATTGTTTAATGAGGAAAGAGTTCTTTTGCACCATATATACTGCTGACCTGAGAGAAGCCCACTATGATATAGAGTTATAGGACAGCTGGTCAACATACTATATAACTAAAATCAGGGCCTCTCTGTTTTGATGGGGAGAAAAGTTAGAGAAAGAATCTCTAGACTTCAAATTTCATGGCTCAGTAAAACGTCAAAATAATTTTGAAGACCAAAGGGGTTGCCAGCTTACTAAGCTGCGTAGACAGGGGTGGGTATGAGGGGAAGAAAATCTACTACTTTCATCAACAGCATATCAAGAAACAAAGGACATTTAAACACTAAAAAAGTCAGAAGGACAAAGTCTCAGAAAAAAAGGTCGGTCCTTTAAATGGATTACATTTGGCTTTATAAAATGCCCTCCTGTATTGTCCTAACCTTTCTTTGCCAAGGTCAAGTGCTTGGGTGTCATTGAATTATAAGCCCCTGGGTTCTGAACAGTGGGGGAGGGAATCATAGGAACAAGCGTTAGGGATGAGGAAAAGGAACTCATTAACCTTGGGCCCTGGGTGGAAGTTAATTATCATGTCTTGCCCTGTGGGTGGGTTGAAGTAGGAACATTAATTCCAAAGGCAGTTTTCCAAATTTTTGAACTTGAGATTTGTAATATTATATTGCCAGGTAGCCACCAGTTTTGTTTTGGTTTCTTTTCTTTTCTTTAACAGTCTCGTTGTCACCCAGGCTGGAGTGCAATGCCTCAATCTTGGCTCACTGCAACCTCCGCCTCCTGGGTTCAAGCGATTCTTGTGCCTTAGCCTCCCGAGTAGCTGGGAACCACAGGTTTGCACCACCATGCCTGGCTAATTTTTGCATTTTTAGTAGAGATGGAGCTTCACCATGTTGGCCATGTTGGTCTCGACCTCCTAGCCTCAAATGATCCACCCACCTTGGCCTCCCAAAGTGCTGGGATTACAGACATGGGCCACTGCACCTGGCCAACCACCAGTTTTCTAGTAACGGTTAGGTTGATCTTTTAGATTCATTTTTAGAGTTTATTATCATTTTGCTGTTATCATAAGAGAAGTTCTATTATATCAAAAACTTGTATTAGAAAAGACATCTTCCATTCCCGGTACATATCCAACTCTCATTCGTATCACCAAAGGGTGTATGTGTATCATCCACAACTCTTGCCCTTTTGCCCTTGGATTGCATTATATGCTTTGTGCTTTTTTTTTTTTTTTTAAATTAGTAAAGCATTTGCATTTCCTGACAGTGTGCCACTTGACAGCAGGTTTCAGTGCCTGGGAGAATAGTAATCAGTGGCAAATCAGCTTGTGTCTGAAATGTGGCTGTTGGCAGTCTACTTGAGGATAATTGAAAGTTTACTGTGTTCGTTTTATTGATGGGATTCTAGGTGAATGCCAGACTCCCAATTGGGACCCCGGATTACATGGCTCCTGAAGTGCTGACTGTGATGAATGCGGACGGAAAAGGCACCTACGGCCTGGACTGTGACTGGTGGTCAGTGGGCGTGATTGCCTATGAGATGATTTATGGGAGATCCCCCTTCGCAGAGGGAACCTCTGCCAGAACCTTCAATAACATCATGAATTTCCAGGTAAAGGGTCCTTAGAAGATTTCGAGGTCATATTGAGAGACGTTATTTAAAAATTGTGCAAATGAGGCTGGGCGCGGTGGCTCACACCTGTAATCCCAGCACTTTGGGAGGCCGAGGCGGGTGGATCACAATGTCAGGAGATGGAGACCATCATGGCTAACATGGTGAAACCCTGTCTCTACTAAAAAAAAATACAAAAAATTAGCCGGGCGTGGTGGCGGGTGCCTGTAGTCCCAGCTACTCGGGAGGCTGAGGCAGGAGAATGGTGTGAACCCGGGAGGCGGAGCTTGTAGTGAGCCGGGATCGCGCCACTGCACTCCAGCCTGGGCAACAGAGTGAGACTCCAAAAAAAAAAAAAAAAAAAAATTGTGTGAGTGAATGTTTATAGAATGTTGTTTAAAAATTGTGTGTGTGAATATTTTATAGGTATCGTGTGAATTAATGTTTATAGAATGTTAGATGTTATTTAAAAATTGTGTGAATGAGGGTTTCAGCAGTGCTAGAAAATAATAATAGCAAATACTTATATAGCACTTAACTCTGTGCCAAAGGCTATTCTAAGCATTTTATTAATTGTATTTCACGGAATCTCAGCTGCCAGTAATGATAAGACTACACCATTATTTTATGTACTGCTAAGAAAGAAAAACTGCTGCCAGTGAGTCTATGATACTTTTATTGATTATAAAATACATCTTGATTTCAGTGCTGTTAACTGTGAATAACTGTGAGTCTTAGAATTGAGGAGATGTAGTTTTAGTTAGTTAGTTAATCTTCAAGCAACCCTGTGAGGTAAGTATTATTATTTTCATTTATAGACGAGGAAACCAAAGCACTGAAGGTAAAGTAACTTGCCCAAAATAACATAGGCAGTCTGGCTCTGAAGTCCATGCTCTTGATTTTTCGATATACTCCTTCTTAGTACTAACTATTGAATATGGTATTAAAATTGAGGAAATGAATTAGAAATACAATTATATATAGATATGTGTTTTACTCTGTGTATGTATATATATACATATATAGTAAAACTATTTTCTAATAACTGTACTTTCTACTACATTAAGCCTATTTATTTATTTATTTTTTTGAGATGGAGTCTCACTCTGTTACCCAGGCTGGAGTACAGTGGCACAATATCAGCTCACTGCAATTCCTGCCTCCTGGGTTCAAGCGATTCTCCTGCCTCAGACTCCTGAGTAGCTGGGATCACAGGTGCCCACCACCATGCCTGGCTAATTTTTGTATTTTTAGTAGAGATGGGGTTTCACCATGTTGGCTAGGCTGGTCTTGAACTCTTGACCTCAGGTGATCCGCCTGCCTTGGCCTCCCAAAGTATTGGGATTACAGGCATGAGCCACTGTGCCCAGCTCATGAAGCTCATTTCTTAAGGCTCTGATAAATGTGTATTTTTTAGTTTCAACTAAAAGGAAAAGGAACATATTTCCTGGGTTTTTGTATCTCACCCAGTTTTCATCTTTTGGGAACGCTTAATACATATTTTTATGTAAATACATTATTAGTTATTCTTGTGCCTCCTCTTGAGTGAAAATTTCCCCTTAGATGACTCTTGGAGCTAATTTATTTCCTTCCCTTTAGCTCACTCACTCATTCAATCATTCAATAACGAGTGCATTATCATACCATGCACTGTTAGGTACCAGGTTTACAGGGATGAGCAGAAGAAGCAGGCCCTCTCTGCCTTCTTTATTTTTCATCACACTGAAATCACAGCACAATATGTAGGTGCAAAAGTAGAGTGCAGAGGGAACATGCAGAAAGGAGTTATAGGATAGAAAAGGTAGCCAAGGAAAGCAGCGAGAACAGCGTGATTTGTTCAGGGAGCTTTAAATAGCTCATCATTGTTGGACAGCAAAGAGAGAGATGGGGAGCGTGGCGAGATGAGATGGGAAGGGGAGCTGGGGTCAAGCCATGGAGGATGCTGAACCCCTACAAAGGAACTAAGCCTATTGATGTGAACAGGCCACTTATTTTGGGAACAGGCCTTTGGTCCAGAGGGAAGAGGGCACAAAACTTCCTTCTCTAAAAAACAACAACAAAGAAAGAAACTTGCATATATGAGAAATACTTTCTTCACTTTGAGGCATGAGAAATGGAATCCCTGCTAAGGAAATTCTTTTGTTTTTTTGGAACAGCGGTTTTTGAAGTTTCCAGATGACCCCAAAGTGAGCAGTGACTTTCTTGATCTGATTCAAAGTTTGTTGTGTGGCCAGAAAGAGAGACTGAAGTTTGAAGGTCTCTGCTGCCATCCTTTCTTCTCTAAAATCGACTGGAATAACATTCGTAACTGTAAGTAGGGCTATTTTCCTTAGTTTGGGATGTTGGGATTATGAAACACTCAAGAGAGATCTGAGATTATTCTGGCCCAAAGAAGCTTCGGTAAATTATATAAATAAAGGCTGTAATTATCTACACGAGTAGTAAAGGCTAATGATATAGCCGTCTTTGAGTAATAATTCTGCTTTAAAATTGTTTATGTAGAACTGGGTCATTTATCAAACTCTGTGTTTATGTGGCCTTTAGAATATTATCCCTCAGTAAGTTAGAGGCACAGATTAATGGAGTTTGAAGGTTATCACTTGGTTTGACACAATTTCTTCCAAAAAAGTGGATATAGATATTTCATTCACATATCAGGAAAAAGACTCAGATTAGGCAACATGCCCAGGTTGTTCTGCTAATGGCTGAGTTTAAACGAAAACCATAAACACCTCCCTGTGTTTATTCATTTGTTTCCCTCGATAATATTTGTCTTTGCTCACAAGCATGTAAAACCTATAAAGTATATGCACAGTAGATTCATTCATACATCACTTTTTATAATCAGTTAGTGCACACTGAATGAATTCATTAACAACAAAGACTGGGTTTATTATCAACAGAAACCACACAATGCTCTTTTTTTCTTTTACCAGTTGGTGATCTTTTAAAAATCTTTTTAATTCTTGGATGTGTTGTTGATTGAATGTCTTCTAATAACTGGACCCAATGATCAACATGGATTAGAGCCAGTAGGAAAGCAGTTTGAGTATGTGTTTTGTTTTTGGTGATGGAGGGAGGTTGGGAAATGGAATCTGTTTCTAGGTGTCAAAACCAGGCTTCTGATTGGAGATGTGTTATAATTGCTTGCACCTTCAGCTAGGACATAGTATGGTAAAAATTCAGTATTGTCCAGTTGTAAGCCATTTTGATGATTTCTCTAACCTGCTGAAATATTTAAGTAGGTCGCATTTCCATAAATCTTTCTTGGCAGATGTTTTTATTATTCGAGTGGCCACATTGCTTTATTTTTCTAAATAAATAGACATCTCCCCCCAAATCTCCAAGGTTCAGACCTTTTAATCAGTAATATATTTTCAGGGCATTCTTCCTTTTATGCTTTTGGAAAGATCTGATAGACTTTCTTTTAGATGCTATTCAAGTACTTAATCTTTTCTTGTCTTGCCTTTTTATCTCTGTAATCTTCTTGAATAAGCACTTAATTTTTTTTATTCATGAACTTGCTGATCATGCCTAAGAATATATCTCCACCTAAGTAAGTCAGTGAATGGTGATTACCTGAGTAAAGTTATAGTAGTTCCCCACCCTCCTATCTGTGTTGCATATGTTCCAAGACTCCCAGTGGGTATGTGAAACTGATGATAGGACTGAAACCCAGTGACACTGTTATGTATAACACTGGGGGCCGGGCGCGGTCACTTAACACCTGTAATCCCAGCACTTTGGGAGGCCGAGGTAGGCGGATCATCTGAGGCTAGGAGCTCGAGACCAGCCTGGCCAACATGGTGAAACCCTGTCTCTACTGAAAATACAAAAAGTAGCTGGGCATGGTGGCGCATGCCTGTGGTCCCAGCTACTCGGAGGATGTGCATACATATCTGTGTTATATAAAGTTTAACTTATAAATTAGGCATAATGTATTTGACTCCCAGCTCCCAGTGTAGTGACTCTGAAGACTCACAAAATGTATTTTCTTTACAAAAATTTTTTTTTTGAGACGGAGTTTTGCTCTTGCTGCCCAGGCTGGACTGCAGAGGTGCGATCTCAGCTCACTGCAACCTCTGCCTCCCGGGTTCAAGTGATTCTCCTGCCTCAGCCTCCCAAGTAGCTGGGACTACAGGCGCTGCCACCTCGCCTGGCTAGTTTTTTGTATTTTTGTAGAGACAGGGTTTTACCGTGTTAGCCAGGATGGTCTCGATCTCCTGACCTTGTGATCCGCCTGTCTTGGCCTCCCAAAATGCTGGGATTACAGGCTTGAGCCACCGCGCCCGGCCATGCCTAGCTAATTTTCTATTTTTAGTAGAGACAGGGTTTCTCCGTGTTGGTCAGGCTGGCCTTGAACTCCTGACCTCAGGTGATCCACCTGCATTGGCCTTCCAAAGTGCTGGGATTACAGGCGTGAGCCACCACGCTCAGACCCCAATGTTAACTCTTACATAACAGTGTCACTGTCAAACTAAGTGTTTGAAAAACTATTTGTCAAAACTAATATTGGTACATTACTGCTAACTACACTTGAGACTTTTTTTGGATTTTACCAGTTCTCCCACTCATGTCCCGTTTCTGTTCCAGGAATCAATCCATGGTACCATATTGCAGTTAGGGTATTTATATTTGATGGGACTACTCCTAGTTTAGATACTTAGTGTAGCTCAGTCAGCAGGTGGGATCTTCGTGCCCACTGAGGATTGGTAGTGCGTTTTCCTGGTGGTTTTATGGAGTTTCCGACTATGCAGAGAGGCATGGTATTAACTTCACTGTCTCCTAGCAAATTTTCCTGTTTTTCACCAACCTCTGATCCCTGCGTTATTTGCAATCAACTCAGAGATTTGTGATCGAAAACATTGCTTGACTCCATGCTCTGTAAGCTATTTTCTAACTAGGTAACTGTAACATAAATTATGCTTTTATCTAGTATGGTTTTTCATAAACACATGTGAAGTGATTTTCATCAACCAAAATACTTTGAATCATTAAGTTTCCCAAGTTCACGGTTGCTGCTTAAATGCCTGGTAGTTCCAGGCTGTTGAATATTTCCGCCTTTTGCAATAAGAGATTGTCCCTTGTTAAAAGCAACATTAGCCTTTGTGCGGTTTCACCCCCAATTCTTCTTTTTCTTGTTGTAACCAATGAAAGGAAGTACTGCTTAACACAGCAGGTAATAATCTTCTAAAACTCATTATCTCAAGAGGTGGTCTCGGCAGGATATATAAATATAATTTAAGAAAGGTCTCGGCAAATTTATGAATGACAGAACTGGGAGTGGCTACCAAGAGAAACTAGGATGTGCCTTTGTATTGACACTGAGGTCAGGTGTAGCTTCTGTACCCTCCTGGGTCCTGCCCTTTGGGGTTGCTGCAGGCAGCACCCCATGAACCAGGCATCTGACCCAGTTCCAGGATACTTATTCTTCCAGCAAGTCGAACACTGTGATGAGTGACTGCCACGCTCATGGGTCACCAGGCTCTCATTATTCTGTTTCATTTCCAGCCTCCCACAAGATTGGTTTTTCAGCTGCTTATTTATTATTATCATTATTTCAAGGCTGCTTTCCAAGTTTCAGTGGGGGGTTTCCTAAGCGTACCAGCTGCCCTGGCTGTGCCGTTCCGGCGATGTTTCAGATGCTGGGCCGGATTCTGGCTGTAACCAGCCTGATCTTTCTGGGCTTCAGGAAAGCTGAAGCCAATCAGAACTCCTCTTTCTTCCCTTTGGGATTATGCCTACCTTGCCTGGCATCGTGTACCTGCTCCCATCCATGGGAAAGTTTTGCTATCTTCTGTCAATGTCTTTTAAAATATCTTCCCCCAAGACATCGCGACGTCAACGGAACCAGCACACTTGTACCTTTTATCCGAGACTGCCATATCTCAACAGTGAGAAACACATAATGCAAGTGGTGATCACAGATTATTTCCTAGGACATTTATGGCTAACGTGCTAGAGAACTCGGATGGTCTGTTGCGTCTGACATGGGCTTTTTCTCTTGAGTTGTCTTTCTTTTGCTATTCTCAGAAAGACAGAAATGATCCTGATTTTTCAGGTCTTCAGCATTTGTTAGCAGAAAATACATTTTGTTTCCATCTGGCAGTGACTCAGTGGTGGTCCCATGCTGATGAAACGCTGAGATAGTCTTCTTCCAAATAGGTGTCGTTTTGATTGTTGCTGCTTATTTGCTAACTGGCCCTGAATGGTGCAAATGAAACCTCAAGTGTATAATATGGTTGCTCAGTAATCCTGAGGGAAGACAGTCTTTGGTTTAGGGGAGAGGGATTCTGTGCCTACTTAGCTTCAGGTGAAATTCTTTTTTTTAAATCTATATATATTTTTTATTATACTTTAAGTTCTAGGGTACATGTGCACAATGTGCGGGTTTGTTACATATGTATACATGTACCATGTTGGTGTGCTGCACCCATTAACTCGTCGTTTACATTAGGTATGTCTCCTAATGCTATCCCTCCCCCCACCCCATGACAGGCCCTGGTGTGTGATATTCCCCTTCCTGTGTCCAAGTGTTCTCATTGTTCAATTCCCACCTATGAGTGAGAACATGCGGTGTTTGGTTTTTGTCCTTGTGATAGTTTGCTGAGAATGATGGTTTCCAGCTTCATCCATGTCCCTACAAAGGACATGAACTCATCCTTTCTTATGGCTGCATAGTATTCCATGGTGTATATGTGCCACATTTTCTTAATCCAGTCTATCATTGTTGGACATTTGGGTTGGTTCCAAGTCTTTGCTATTGTGAATAGTGCCGCAATAAACATATGTGTGCATGTGTCTTTACAGCGGCTTGATTTATAATCCTTTGGGTATATACCCAGTAATGGGATGGCTGGGTCAAATGGTATTTCTAGTCCTAGATCCCTGAGGAATCGCCACACTGTTTTCCACAATAGTTGAACTAGTTTACAGTCCCACCAACAGTGTAAAAGCATTCCTATTTCTTCACATCCTCTCCAGCACCTGTTGTTTCCTGACTTTTTAATGATTGCCATTCTAACTGGTGTGAGATGATATTTCATTGTGGTTTTGAGTTGCATTTCTCTGATGGCAACTGATGATGAGCATTTTTTCATGTGTCTGTTGGCTGCATAAATGCCTTTTTTTGGAGAAGTGTCTGTTCATATCCTTCGCCCACTAAACAATATTGCCGACCATACTAAAGGACTAGAAAAAAAAACCCAAGGAGCTACATGGTGCTTAATTCTACATACAAAAATTTGTAAGAATTTCACCTGAAGCTGTTACAGATTTTTATGTGTGGAATTAAGCACCATGTAGCTCCT